TGGACATTTGCCTCATCAGACTGGACTGGGAGAAGGCCTTTGCCAGAATATTGCACACCGGCATTAATCGATATGCCTTCTCTCCCCTGTCCTGTTGTGTGTTGTATAAAACGCTTTGCCAAGTTCTTTAGGAAAGATTTGGCAGAAGGAGAGGCAACTATCCCAGGTAGGAGGAGCACTCAGATCAAATCATGTACATGGATAATATCGTTGTTTTCTGCTCAGATCCCCTGTTGTTTGCACAACTTCCAGAAGGAAGAAAACCGTAAAACTTGTAAGCATTGCTTACAGGGTCTGACTTGTCTTGTACACCTCAAAATGAAGGTCCAGTATGACCAGTTAGTTCATTTCTAAGCATTACTACCTTTTCCTGTTCTTTCCCTCTGGGCTATGACCTGTTTGAATGGGCCTAAGGAGCCAAGCTAAATTGTGGCAAGAGCAAAGCCATTTTATTTGCAAACTGGGCCAACTAATTCTTCATCCCCTTCACCGTTTGATTAAATTACCTCGAGGTGCTGGGGATAGGATTGAGAGGATCCTGCTGCAAGTGTCAAAACCTGGAAGAAGTGAACAGCCATGGTGTAACAAAAGCTGGGCATGTGGGAGTGATACTGCTTCTTCATTGTAGGTAAGAAGCTGGGAGGCACTCTCAGTGTTGCTCATTGGGGTGCCCGTTTGATCCATTCCTGACTCTTGCATCATGGTGGTCACCTGAACCACCTTCTGCTATAGCCAGAGGTCATAAATGAACTGTATTTACAGTCGTAAAGAACAAATTAGTAGATAGAGGGGGAAGGAAATGGACCCAACAACATACTCATTCTGATGGCCACCCTTACATGGAGCTGCATCAAGGTGTGAGTAGATTCTGAGTCATTGTGTGCTGAGATTCTCCCTGTCTCGGGTGTTGTGAAGAATGGGTCTAGCCATATTGACATTGAAAGTTCCAAGTAATTGGACAGTGCCAGATCATCTCTCTAACACAGAAAACCGTTTTGACCACAAATCCTCAGTGAGTGGTCAGTGCATAACTCCTTGGAGATCCTGTGAGAAAAGAGAGGGTAGCTCTTGTCATTTAGTTCATTGAGGAGACTGTCAAAGGCATTTGGCAGAATGCTTCATTGCCAGAACTTAAAACCAAAACATAGCTCAGCTGATGGTGAGACATGCCCTGCCCATCAGCTTCTTCCTTTATGCCTGGAGTCTCACCCCACTGCATGTTGTCCTTGAGACTGGTGCAGTGGAGGAGAGAAAACCGTCTGTATCGTTGTAGAATGTGCCTGTACAAAGAAGGTCTGGAGAGAGACGCATTTTTTTTTTGCAATGTTCATCCTGAGCAGCTCCATACTGTAGGACTGAGCATTGAAGGCTCTGTAGACACTCTCTGAAGACACTGAGACAAACATTAACTTTAGCTGGAGGACCATCAACTCCGAGAAGGCTGCACCTTAGTCTGCCTGAAACTTGCTAGTCTTCGATTGCAAAGAGTTGTCTTCGATGGAGCTTTGCAAAGTGGCACATTTCAAGCTCCAGGACTGTGTGCTGAGGGCACACTAAAGTTGGGATAGCCGCCACAGAGGTATACTGGGGTAAGTTTCCTGCCTATAGCCTTTCAGCCATGGTGCTCTGAGGGACAGGAAACCCTTGGGTTACATACCTGACAGGAAAGGGCTGTTGTGACTCACTGGGGTTGCATGCTGAAAATCAAGCACCGCTATTTCCAGAATTGTTACAAAAGATTTTATAAATTTTACCAAAGAATGAAAAACTCCCCCATTTTAATTTTACCCCTTTTCAAACCATGGTAGTATATTTCCCCTTTCCCTCTGTTTAGCAGTTTGGAATTGCTTTGTGGGGGTAGGTTTATTGGTTAGCTGGAAGTTCAGGAGTTGGAGGCAGTTTCTTTCCTTTAAAATTTCTTTGAAGATCTTATGAGAAATATTACTGAAATGTAGTTTCCACTGCACCATTTTGCCAGAGACAGCACAGTAAATAAGTTGTTGGCTGTGTTTTTAAAAAGTGAGATTTTCGTTTGTAGACTGGAGTTAGTAGTTTTGATGTCATCAGTACGTACTGTATAAAGCAGTGTTGAATGATTAACTGTCTGCTATTTCAAAGTTGTACAGTTAATAGGCAGTTGGGGTCACTGTGGGAATTACATAACCAAGCCTCATTAGGGGGAGGTATGGAAATTGGTTGCCAACAACGCAAAGGATTACATTGCAGTTAACCAACTGACTATGGCCCATCTCAGAGGCTAGTTGAAAAGTTGTTAACACATATTTTTACGGGATTGTGCAAACTTGAATTCTGTTGTGTGGGGTTTTCCTTATTAGAGACAGTTGGTCTCTGAGATCATTTATAACACAATAGTTTATCATTCCACTCACATCAAGAGGTACATAAATCATTGATTGTCCAACTGGCTTTGAATTCCAAGAAGCTTCTGGAAGGTTACCACTAAGTCCGGTCACATGAGTATAACAGCTTTGTTTGTTGAGCTGTTTAATCGGTTTTTAAAACTGTCACTAGATATAGATAGATATCTATTAAAATTGTTTTTGAATTCATTTGTGCAACTATAACAACAAGTGTATTCAAATTGCACTGAGACACCTCAGAATGGTACATGGCATATAGAGCTGTATGGCTGAAATGGAATGTATATTGTAAATATTAAGATTATTACGATTATATCAAGACACCCAAAAGTGGATCATGTTGTATGGAGATACATTGAATTTGCTGTAATTCATTTAAATGTGGAAATGGTTTGTAATGTACTTTTACAATTTTTATAAACAAAACATATTTTTGAAACAAAATGAGTTATTCAAAGTAAATAACACATTTACTGAATCTAATGTGCCATTATGGAGAGCTATGTGGGATATAGCTGTGTGTGGACGCAGTGGGGTTGTGAGGCAAGAGCTGTTTTGGCCTGATTTCCTTCAGCAGAGAGGTTAATAATCAGAGGGTGTAGATTTAATGTGATTGGTAGAAAGTTTAGAGATTAGTTTGAGGTTTTTTTTGGTGAGGATCTGGAGCTCATTGTCTTAGATAGGGACAGAAACTTAATCGTGCTATGTTTTTAAATGCAATGATGTAGAAGGCTGGAGACCAAGAGCTGGAAGGTAGGGTTAGATTGGGTTGCTAACTGCTGTGCTGCAACTTTCAATGATTCCAGAATAATTTGGTATGGGAGCAGGCTTGATGGACCAGCTTATCTTTTCCCACCTCACAATTTAGTATGATTGTATGTTCCACTGTTGGTTCCAAATGCGAATTTCAACTTGACAATGAGAAAAGATAGCACCAAAATGTAGTCAATCACACGTCCATTCATGTTAGGTTAATATGCTGGAAGGGTGGAATTATGAATGCCAGTGTGTTTCTTTTTTATAGATGCTACTTGTTTAATGCTAATGGCATGTGTAGACTGACATTATGACTCCAGAAAGCTTACTGTGGGGGGAAGAAAAAATTAGTTTGTATAATCTCTGGCCTTCCTAGGTCTTTTAATATCAGCTGACCTTGTTAGAGGCATCTACTGTCTGTTAGTGTCTGGTTTCATTCTGTGTCTGTGCAGCCTCATGACAGCTTTTGCTTTTAAAGAGAGACAGTGGTATAAGGGCAAAACACTAATGTAAAATCAGTTCTTCTAACTACAGTGTTATTAACTCCCCTGATTCTGTTTAAGATTCAATTTGCATAATCGCTTTAATGCGCATGGTTAAATAGAAGGAGAGAGAAAATGTTTACATTGTAATAAATGGATAAGAAATTGAATGTTGGTCATTCTTTTATCTCTCGTCCCATTTAGTCTTTAACAATTTTGATTGTTTTGGAGGGATACATATTAACTGTAGAGTTAACATTTCAGGAAAAATTATTGTAAATTTTATCAAAGTTCAGTAATAGATTCTTATGAGGTATAGCCACAAGTCATCATTGATGATGAATGACTCATCTGCCTGTGGGTTGACTTAACATTATTCATTCTAAGGTCTCTTCCTCCCTACCACCCACCCCCTGCCAGTTAAAGCTTCATCAGTACAAATATTTTCCCTGTCTTCTGTTCCACTTGCTTCTCATAGGCTTTTGAAATACAAGCTCAATTTTGTTCTGTCACTACTGCGTGATGTAGCTCCTCATGTTGAAATGCCAGCTGACTAGGAGGAACTGGGTAGTTCAAAGGCAAATTAGATTGATGGGAGCGTACTGCATGTGTTCTGCTCCCCAGGGGGGTAAACAGCGAACAAACATAATCAAATTTACAAATAACCCTGCAAATGAATACATTACCGAGATGTCACTTGTAACATTTACACAAATCTGATCATAAATTAAGCATGAATTACCAGACAAATGATACTTCTAATTAGAAGCTAAATTTCAGTTCAAATAGTTAATGCAACAAAGTGTCTAGATCACTCCTCACATGTTGATACCACATGCAGTTTGAAAGTTCGCTAACTCTGCCTCCAGTATATGGATTTCACAATTTCTTAATTACTTTCACCATCACGTCCTATTCACCGGCTTTATTTCATGAGATCCCCAATATGGTTAATGAGATATATTTAACACAGGCAAGGTGCGTATCTATCAACCCTTTTGAATCAGGTCAGTCCCAGTTGTAACTTTGCAGAATATCTTTTCAAATGACTAATAAACAATACATGGTTTATGATTTAGGCTTCTCATACAAACCCTCATCTGTTTGACATGCCTGAGCTATTTGTATTGCTTTTACAGTTCAGTGCCTTCCCAAGAACTTCTGGAATCTATTTTGCTTCTCATGTCAAACAGAAAGCTGACTTGTTTGTAGTGATTTTTTGTGGCTTATCCTGACATTAAATTATTTGTTCCTCCAGCAACTTTATCTGTGTTTTGATCCCTTTCCCCTTGCAACTCTCTTGCTGTAGTTCTAGTTTACCTTTGTTTCTGGTCACGTGGCCTCTGTGTTTTAACTTCCTTCCTGTTTATTCTGCTTCCAGATCAAGGGCTACCAACCCATTCATTATCCAAGAAAACTACAATTTGTCCCTTGACAATCAGTACAAAAACTAAAAGGACCATTTGAAACATTCTTAAAAAAGCTGGATTCACCAGGTATTTAGTAATACAAATTTTCCTTATTTTTACTGTTTCAAGGTCAGAAATCATCTCACAAGTGTCTTGTGAATTTCATCATGCTCTTCCTTGTTGTCGAAAGTTTAATATAGGATCTTATAGCACAGAAGATTGCCATTTAGCTTGTTATGTGCTGTTTTTGAAAAGTCTGTAAATGGGTTCCCCTGCCCCACTCTTATATAGTCCTGTAGGTGTCTTCTTTTCAAGTATATATCTAATTCTCTTTTGAAAGTTAACATTGAATCTTCTCCCCTCTTCCCTAACAGGCACATACTTTTCATGGGACTGTTACCGTAACTCCTAATCCTTTATCAAAATGCTCACCTTTTCACGGAGGGATTCACAGTTGTGGCATCAGATTTGGAAATGATTGCTGAACAACCCCAAGAACAACACTGCAGGTGGCAGCACCAGCACTTCCCAACTTACTGTACTCGTCAGCAGAATGGAAATAGGTGTGAAGATTGAAAGAGCATTTCGTGGTGGCACAGTGTATGGGGAAAACTTTGCTTAATCTGTGGAGGGAGACGAGTTAGAAAACTTGTATTGCCATAGTTATTACTTGATGTATTTTACAAAGAACTGAAACTGTTAATCAATGAAAAGGATGAAATCACTCTCCGTTTCAAGCTTTTACAAGCATTGACTAGATATCTTATGGACAAAATGACAGCAATATAGATTACAAGAAGCATGCAATAGAATCTTAAATTACTAAATGTAGTAGAGGATTACTTTTAGACCCAATGTTACCACAGCCCTAGATAATTCACTTCATGACCTCATTCTTATGAATGTCCAGGATTTCAAGTCATTTAGAAGAATCGAACAGGGCTAGTAAGTATCGAAGTCATTCAAATATTAGATCATCTGTTTGTCATCTCCAGAAGTAACGAATATATACAATAGAGAGGATCAATTTAATCAGTGAGAGTAATTACTGCTGTAAATACCTTCACAAAGGGATTGGTAAATACCTTTAAAAGTGCAATGGGTAATTTCATTTAGAATGCTAAAGAAAAAATGAATTGTACCTAATTCCTTTTATTATTATAACTTATTCTTCTGTTCTTATGCACCGATAATACAAGGAAAAAATGATGGCAGACACTGACAATGAAAAGATTTTACTGTATTAAATTAGAAAAGATGAAAATGATACGAGCTGCAGACACAAAGAGAAAGTGGATAGAGGCAGAAAGATAATCACTGAATTCATGTTAGGACAAGCCAGCAAAGCTAAGGTCACTCTTTTGTTTGGCAGCAAGAAAAGAATAGGATTCCAGAAGCTCTTGACGAAGGGACTAAAAGCAGTGTGAATAAGTGAAGCAAGCAAAAGAGCTGAGAGTTACTATCATAAAGCCAGATTTTGAAAGGTTCCGGTTTACGATAATAAGTGTGATTTTTCATGCAAGAATTGTTTTGCAGTCTTGTCTTCAGTCCTACCATTGCAAATTCATTTCTATTAATTGATCATCTAATCTGACTGGTTTAATATCTTATTGGTATTATGTCCTGGAGGCTAAGCAATATTAATATATTCTAAGGTCTTTAAACAGATCTATGCCAAACTATAATTGGAAATATAACTGGATTTTTTCTAAATACGTGGCTAGTTATGCTGCAGCACATTTGGTATGCAGCCTTCTTATCCTTAGTGATAAATAAAAGAAAATGCATGTTCATACTTTTCTCCCCAAGGAAATTAGTGTCCAGCGTTCTGTATTAAACTGTAGTGATTTTGCTTCATAAAGGTACCTGGTTTTCAATGCTAGACCCATTATTCTTCTTGCAGACAAGAGAGTTTCCTTTTAAGCTATATTCCAGTCAAGCACTGCTCCATTAACCTTCTATTCTGGAGTTAGATTAATAGAGATGGTACACTTCACACTTAGTTGATCTTTTCAACTGGAAAGTCACTGCTGATGCTAATAAAATACTGAGGTTCTGCTGAGTGCCCCTTCTTTCTCTTCAAGGATGCCAGTCCTACCTCAGTGTGCAATCCATTAAAGCATGACCTTCTCTTACAAAGAGCGACATTGCGTTAGCTTTAAAGACCCTTGCATTCCAGTTCAATTGTTCTGTAATTTTCACATATATCTCTTGTTAATAACCAAAAGCCCTTCAGGTTGGAGGAGAAAAGAAGGAAGTTCAGGGGGTTTACACAGGCTTACAGCTTCAATCTCAAATAATTGTCCTTTAGCTTAGTTGTAACAACATTTAGAATTATCATGGAACGTTTCTCACCAAAACTGTGTATGTAGGTATAAATACATGAATGTTGGTAAGTTGGGTATAGATCCACTAGTTGGTGTGATAATTTCTTAAGGTACCTTCGCGAATTTGTGGAAGATCCAGTCTTAAAAGGAATATATTCAGTGTTCTATGCTCATGAATTTGAGGAAATGCCAAACAGAATTTTGACTGAAATTATATAGATTTGTACATTATGTAGCCACCTAATTTGCTGTGAAATAACAACTACTTTTTGTGCAAAAATATAATTTATTTTTGTGAATAATACATTTAGTTATTTACATTCAATGCTACTGTTGATGAGATTTAGGTTATTGATTTCAAAAAAAACGTTTGAATAAAAATAATGAAGGTATCCCTGAATAAAGGGGTCGCCTGACATGATTTAAGCGGGGTGGTGGTGGAATAATTTTAACCCCAAAAAATGAGTGGCTGAGGGTTGGATCAGCCTCATGTCCATCCAAAGATCTCCCTGGGATTGTACCTCACTCTCACCCTCACCACTGTTTACAGTTACTGGATATAGGCCCCTGGTTTGGGCTGCAGCATGGCCGTCACTTATAACGGAAGCCACCCCTGTTGAGCAAGCTGATTTCCAAGTGGGGGATCCTATTAAAAATGAATTTGTATGCTTTGGAATTAATGTGGAGAAACACAGACTTTCCTGACTGAAACCTTGCTCCGCCCCATACCCCATGTCAGAAATGATATGTGTATGGGGCAATGCTCGATTGAGATCTATCGTGATCAGTACAGCCCCAGGGTCATGGGAGGCAACTGCTGACTTAATGTCCAAACTATCTCCATGTATGTGCAGCAACCACATTAGTTCCCTCTGAATGAAATCTCTTATCACATTTTAGCGGAGTGTTGCTTCTGGAGAAATTAATTAGACGTACTTATCCAGTAAGATTTTTTAAAACCTTTGGAGAGTGGTCAACACAAGTCAGAAAGTTTCTTCATAAAAGTGTTTTAAAATAAAGTTGAATGCTTATATGAGAGAATCAATAACCAATATTGATTATCAAGCAATAATATACTATTTGAAATTTTAAGACAAGCTGAAAGAAGGCATTAAAAGTGCCGTGTCTTCCAGAGAGAGTGTAATGGCTAGGGGGAGATGTCAGATAAGATTGAAAGCACTGGATAGATGTACAGAATATTGAGAAAAATGGCAGAAATGCAATAAATCCACTTAAAATAATGGATGTCTAAGCATAATCCAGTAAAGGCTGGGAAACATATGAAAGACAACCTTGACTTTAGTGGCTACATTTATGTGGCTAGCAGGCACATTAGGAGACAACTTTCAAAGGTATCTTCAAACGCAGCAGACGAGTTATTGTTTTATGCATTATTCAACTTGTCAGATAGCTTTATTACGTTTGAGAACTGCTCTGTGCATACAACGACAGTTAGTGTGACTGACTGAAGCAGAATGACATTCACACTAATGGACGAGTGATTGCTATAATTTGACCAAGAACGTGATGAGTTCAGTTACTGGTTAAAGCATTGGATCAGAAGCCCAGAGTTGGAGATCTCAGATCTCATTATATCAAGCTGAAGTAATCTTATACAATTTTTTTCTATGTCTTGAAGGGTCTTTTCAATGTAAATATTTTTCAATGATTATTTCTTACCTCTCCAATCCATTAACTAGTACAACTTTCCTTCTTCTTTTAAATATAATTGAATTCATCCTGAACAAGATGCTTCTCATCTTCCCAACTATCACCTTGTGGCAGTTTATAATTTCTAAAACTATTGAAAATTACTATTCATTAAATTTTCCCTAATTTTGAAAGTTCTTGCCTAATCCACAACCATCTGTAATATTCTAGCATGGGCATAGCACAAACCATATTGGTATCTTTTTTTGGAATTTATATTAGTAAATCATATAGAAATTTCCAAATAATTTGAGAAAACCTGACACTTTGCATTTATCATCCATTTGCCATAATTTGGCCTTACACTATATTCTTGATTATCTAGTTTGCTCTCAAATATTGTGTGTTGACTCTTGAATTTACTGTGTCCTGTTTTTCTCTTTCTGTTTTCTCAACAAATTATTCTGTAAATTTCATTAGATCACATAAGCTTCATGTTCACACCTTCCAAATTCTCTTCCAGTGCAAAGGCTAAATGAATCCACCCGGCTGCTCTCCAAATCTTTTGATCTGGGCTTCAATTACTTTTTGAAATCTTTAGAGAAACATCTTCTTAATGTATAATAAATTCACAAATTGATCTTTTTGCTTCTTTGTTCATAGAATGTGGTGTTGCTGGTAAGGCCAGTGCTCACTGACCATCCATAATTGTCCTTGAGATGGTGGAGGTGAGCTGAAGAATGCATCACTTCAGTAATCCCTTTTCTCTGTAATGTGATTATTATATAAAAATCTTTCATAAATGAAGCTTTTGACCTCCACAAATCAATCTAATGATCAAATCATTCTTCCTAATAACAAGATTATTACCTGCTATTAACCAATACATTAACTAATTAACAATTGACCAATGAAACAAGTCCATGAATGTTCTGTTTAAGGTATCTTTGCTTTCACAGGATCCAAGAAATTATGCTAGCCTCAAATTACCTTGCAGTTTGTGCAATTATTGGGGCATTATAATGGTGGGAGATGGATGACAGCAGAAGTTGAGGCAGCACTTAGAATTATTCTCCTGTTTCGGTACAATACGGTTTCCTCTTGATGGCTCTTATTTTGTCATTGTCATGCAGGATTACTGATAATAACCAAATGGTGTCATACAACAAGATTCCTGTTATTACTACTCCCATAATGCTCTGATGTAGCAATGTATAAGGTCTTGTGGCTTTGTAGAAATCACGAGCACAGTTCTGGATAAGAAACTTGAAGATTGCCTGCATCTTTTTAACTTTATCCCCACTGGACAACTGGGATAGACCTTCAACCACCAGAAGTGAAGGATTCCAGTCACCACTGGTCTCGACACTTGTTCCCTGCATCTCGTTACATGTTTGGAACAGCTTGTTATTAGAGGCTGCAGCTTTGGATTCCCCACTCCACATCAAGCAAGGCTGACCAGGAGACCCTCACACTCATTTGCTTGCCACAGGCACATCATTAACCTGTTTGGCCATGTTATTAATACATCTTCCATGGCCATCAAGTCCTGGGGTAGGATGTTTTGGTGCAGAGACAGGAGAAGCTTATATTAAGAGAATTGTAGCAGGTGTTCATGTAACTGTGCTCTTTTTCTTTGTGTATGTTATTGTACTCCAGTTAGTGGTCACAACTTAGCAACATTTCTGAAAGCATGCAAACTGAGTAACAACATGGTAGGTCTGATGGTGTGAGGTATATTTATTTTAATGCAAGGAGTAAAATAGGTAAGGCAGATGAGCTTAGAGCCTGGATTAGTACATGGGACTAAGATGTGGTAGACCATGCAGAAATCTGGTTGACAGCAGGGCAGGACTGGCAGCTCAACGTTCCAGGGGTTAGATGTTTCAGGCGTGATAGGGAGGCATGTGAAAGGGGTAGAAGGATTGCATTACTGATTAAGGAGAAGGTCATCATTGTACTAAGTGAGGTTATCTTGGAGGGCTCATTGATTGAGATATTATGTGTAGAGCTTAGGAATAAGAAATGTGCAATCACTATGGTGCAGCTATACTATAGGCCTCTCAATAGTCAGTGGGAGTTAGAGGAACAGCTATGTAAGTAGATCATAGAAAGATGTAAAAACAATATGGTTGTTGTACTGGGTAATTTTAACTTCTCCAATATTCACTGGGACTCCCTTAGTGCCAGGGGCTTAGATGTGGTTGCATTTGTTAGGTACATCGAACAAGCTTTCTTGAAACGATATACAGTCCAAATTGGGAAAGGGCCGAATGAGATATCATATTGGGGAATGAGCCTGGCCAGGTGATTGAAATTACAGTGGGGAAACAGTGATTATAATTCTGTAAATTTTAAGGTAGTTGTGGACAAGGGTAAGACTGGTCCTTCAGTGAAAGTGCTAAATTGGGGATGGCTAATTACAACAGTGTTTGGCAGGAACTTGAGAAATTAGACTAGGAGCAGCTGTTTGATGGTAAATCCACATCTAATTGGGAGTCTTTTAACGGTCAGTTGATCAGAGTTCAGGATCAGCATGCTGCTGTGAGGATGAAAGATAAAGATGGCAAGATTTGAGAACCCGGGATGACAAGGGATATTGAAAGTTGAATCAATAAGATAAAGGAAGTACTAATAAGGTTTAGGAGACTGAAATAAGACAAAGCCCTTGAGGAATGTAAGGGAAGCATCAAAGAACTTAAACAAGGAATTAGGAGTGCTAAAAAGGGACTTGATATATTCTTGGCAAGTAGGATTAAGGTGAATCATAAAGCATTTAATATGTATATCTCAAACAAGAGGGGAGCTAGGGAAAGGGTAAGAACAATCCAGGAAAAAGGAAGGAGTGTATACATGTAGCCAGAAGATGTGTGAGGCCCTTAGTAAGTACTTTGCATCGGTCTTCACCAAGGATGTAGATGATAGTGAAATTAGACGGGGGTATGATGATATTCTGGGGCATGTCGGTATTAAGGAGGAGGAGGTGTTGGGGACTCTTGAAAAATATTCAGGTAGATAAGTTGCCAGAGTCTGATGGAATGTATACCAAGGCACTCAGGGAGGCAAGGGAGGAGATTACTGTGGCCTTGGCAGTGAACTTTGTATCCTCTTTAGCCAAAGGCAAGGACTCCATAGGATTGGAGATAGCCAGTGTTGTTGCTTTGTTTAAGAAGGCAAATGGATAATCCACGAAATTATAGGCTGGTGAGCCTTACATCACCTATAGGGGCATTAGTGGAGACGATTGTTAGGGACTGAATTTACTTGAGATTAGAAAAGAATTATGGAAAATCAGCATAGCTTTGTGTGGGGGAGATCTTGTCTCACAAATTTGTTTGAGTGTTTTGAGCAAGTGACCGTAATGATTGACGAGGGTAGAGTAGTGGAACTTGACTACGTGGAGTTTACAAAAGCATTTGACAAGGTCCCTCATGGTAGGTTGCTCTACATGGGATTCACAGTGAGTTATTAAGTTGGATACAAAATTGGCTTGGTCATAGAAGACAGAGGGTAGTTGTGGAGGGTTGTTGTTCTTACTGGACGTCTGTGACCAGTGGTGTTCCAATGCTAGGAACTCTGTTGGTTGTCACATACAGATTTGGATGAAAACGTAGGTGATCTGATGAACAAGTTTGCAGATGACATGAAAATTGGTGGTGTTGTGGATAGTGAGGAAAGTTGTCAAAGGATACAGCACGATATAGATCAGTTGGAAAGTTGGGCGGAGAAATAGCAGATGAATTTAATTC